AAGTAGAAGAAAATCACAACTTGTATAATTAAGAATTGAGAAATAGGACCCCCGAGAAGATCTGGTCTTATATATATTATATATTTAGAAATATAAATATATATAACATATGTATGTTATTTATTTATTCATAAGTATATTTTTATATTATATTATTTACTTTTTATAAAGAAAAAGCATATATATATATGATGAAAATAATTAAATACTTTTTTTTTGTTTTTACTTTATTTAAATTAGTATATTTATTTTTTCTTTTAATAATTTATTAATTTTTAAAGAAAACAAATCGGATGGAATCAGATCCGACTTACTGATAGGATTCAAATTCAAATCAATTCCTATCAGATCCGATCAGATCTTTGGATCAGATCAAATCCAACATGAACAATGTCGGTCAGATTCAAATCCAATCCGATCCATTTGCATCCCTAGTTCGAAGATGCTTTTACATCTGAATAAGTAGGGAAAAATAGGTGCTTGGCAGCAAGTCATAGAACATGTGGCAAGGTCGCAATACTATTCCCTGCATATATATAACTATACAAAAATTGAAAAACCACCTGGATAGAAGAAAACAGAACATAAGGATTGGGAGGGGGTGCAGGAATTCATGGTAGATACCCATTTTATTCAATCATTTCTGTTTCCAACCATGGCTAACTAGCTAAGCCTTCTTTTTCTTTTTCTTGGTCAAAACACCACTATCTATGATGCAGTTACACTCTTCTATTTAAAAGTTGCAACACCAGGTCAGAATGGCATAACCAATCCAGCACCTTCCTACCCCCCAAAAAAAGAATTAAAAAAAAAGTTACACCCTTCCATTTAAAAGCTTCAACACCAGGTCAGAATGGCATAACCAATCCAGCACCTTCCTAATAATTCCAGCTAGATTCCATAATACGTCTTATACTTGTTAAGTAAAAGTTAAGTGATAGAAATACATAAGAATATATATTTGTTTTATATTTTAACTTTTTAGTAATCAATTCAATCAAATTCAACTAACTTGGTCAGTTTTTTAGTATTTTTTATCGGTTTTGGTTCAACAAGACCAAGTTAGATCAGTTTTGATTTGGCTACACCTAGCAAAAAATTGACCCAACTCGTGAACCCAACCCAACCAACCAAAAAAAAAAAAACAGGGTTAGGGTCTCAGGTTTAGCTACCCGACCCGACCCAGAAAAACCTGGGTTGGGTTGGATTTGGTCATGGGTTAACCCGATTGCTTGGTCTAATTGGGATTATTTATGTATTCTTAGAAGCTTTCTCTATTTCATCTTTACTATTTAGTCTTTACTCTTTATGGTTTACTCTTTGAATGGTTGAATGTTCAAGTCTTTTATTTTATGTTTGGAATTTTAAGGTTAATTCTTTTAATTTTGACACTTTTCATGTATTGTTTTGTTATTTTATAAAATTTATGATATTTTTAGGGATGACCCGTGGGTGGGTCAACCCTAACCCGAACATTTAGGATTAGGGTCTAGCATTTGCTGACCCAACCTAAAAGTCAACCCGACCCAAAATCAACCAATAATATCTTGACCCAACCCACCCAACCCAATTACCAAGACTAGGTTTGGCCATTTGTAAATCGACCAAATTTGAACCGACCAAACCATATTAATATTTTATAGTTTATATAAATATCTATATTTATATAGATATATATTAATATTTTATATTTTGAATATAATTCTTTAATAATTAAAGTGGAAAACTCCTATATATCTTAGTCTAAAATATTTTATATCATAAATTTAATTTTTAAGTTTAAATCTTTTGAAAAAACAAACCAAACCAAAAATAGACCCAAACCGATACAACCCAAGTTGGTGGGTTTTCACTAACGGTCAGTCGGTTTCGGGTGACAAACTCTTGACTTGACTAGGTCGATTTGATTGGCAAAACAGCCTGCAACCGAATTGAACCAATCCTTGAAAACTCCTAATTTCAACTAAATTAACAGTCTAATCTCTCTAACAAATAACAATAGTTTAATCTTCAATAATCATTAAGAATTTATAGCAAAACTACACAATTATTGAAAATAAATTTATAATGAAAATACAATAGATATCTAATAAAAATACAATAATCACAAAATTACAATAAATACTGAAAAAATATTAAATTAGTCAAAAAATAGTGTAATCTCAAATAATAGTTTAATGTCTAATAAATATTAATCAATAAATTATAAGAAATGCATAATTACTAAAAATAAATTTATAAAAAATACAATAAATTAAATTTCAAAAGTTAAATCATAGTTGTTTAATCTCCAATAACTATTAACAATTTTCTGATAAATAATAAAACAAAAATAGATTTATAAATAATTGTTGAAAACATATTTATCAAAAATACAATAAATATTTACTTTAGTATATATAAATATATGATGAATATACACTATTATTGTAAAATTATTAATAATAAATATTAATTTTTTGAAAGTTAATTTCTATAATTATTAATTGATATAAGCAAAATTAGTTATTTACAATATTATTTAATTATTTAAATAATATTTTCATTTAAATTTTTAAGATATTAATTATTTATTTCATTTAATAGTCCATAAAATTATAATTAGTACTATTATTAAATAATTCATTATTAATTTTGTAAAATATTAAGTTATGAATATTAATATTAATAATATGAAATCTATTATAATTTTTTGTATAATTTTAAGAAAACTTTTAAATTTGTTACATAATTTCTTTATTTTAAATATTTAAAATTTAGTCATGTTAAATATTTCATTATTTAAATATTAAATTTTTTTCATTATTTGAATTTTATTTATTTGAAAAGTTATTACATAATATTAAATATTTTGTTATATAATTATTTAGCTATTTTAATATTTTTTATTTAAGATATTTAGTTGTTGAAATATTTAAATAATGTTTTATTTTTTAATGTTAGGTTTTTATTGCTTGAATAACATTTAAATTGAATATTTCATAAAGTTAAAATCTATATTGTTACTACATAATTTCATGATGAAATTTGTAAAATTATAGAATTATTAATAATATAAATATTATTAAATCTATTATAATTAATTTTTATGTTTTAAAAAATTATTTTGAAGTTAGTATATAATTTTGTTATAATATTTACATAATTCTATAATTTTTTAATTAAAACTTTCTTTAGATAGATGTAGATAAAAAGTGTGGAAGAGGAAAGGATAAATATAAATTAAAAATAGTGTAGAAGAGAATCTCTCTACTAAATTAGAGATAACTTAAGATAAATAGGAGTGAGAGATTATTTAGGAGATAAATAAAAATTAGAGACAATTTAGAAAAAATAGCAAAAATAGTGCCACCTGTTTAAACATTAGAAAAACAAATCCCCCTTTTATTATGGATGTTAAAAAAAGAGTGCAAGTGAGATTGTACAATTTAAAAATTTTCGACTACAACAAGCTCAGATTCGAGTTTGACCCCTTTTAGTGCCACCTGCTTAAACATTAGAAAAACAAGTCCCCCTTTTATTATGGATGTTAAAAAAAGAGTGCAAGTGAGATTGTACAATTTAAAAATTTTCGACTACAACAAGCGCAGATTCGAGTTTGACCCCTTTTAGTGCCACCTGTTTAAACATTAGAAAAACAATTCCCCCTTTTATTATGGATGTTAAAAAAAGAGTGCAAAGTGAGATTGTACAATTTAAAAATTTTCGACTACAACAAGCTCAGATTCGAGTTTGACCCCATTTAAAATGTCGAAATGCTCCTGACCCAAGTTGCACCCCTAAGCATACTTTTCAGGTGTATTTTCATTTTTCTGCAAACTTTCTATTATACAAGTAAAAAAAAATATGAAGATATATAATATATGAATGATTCGACTAGGGGAGATCATTCCTAGCCCTCGAATGTGGACAACCATCTGTTAGAGGAAAGTTGTCAGTTGTCACATATATTTGTCTGGATTCTCTTAAGTTGGCAGTTCAAGCAGTAACACGTACTATTCAACTATAGTTTAAAAGTTTGTTCACTTCCCCTTTCTTTTGATATAGTAAATTTCCGTATCAGATTAGTAATTACGACACCAAGGTTTAAGAGTAGCCCCTTTCTCTTAATATGGACAATTCCCATATCAGATGAGCAACCGGGACACCAAGGTTCAAGAGTTGACTGCCCCATGAAAAACAATGCTTCAAGGAGACATTAACAAGCAGCTCATCGGAGATTCAAGGTGATTTATCTATCGCTTTCTATGCCACGAAGATCAGATTCCATTGTATTCCATCTCCATGTAAATATCCAACCCCCACAGAGGAGTAACTTCAGGCAGCCATTCATATTTAGATACGGTTAACACTCCAAAATTGAAGTTCTTCATGACCAGAACCACACAAATGCTGACAATTTCAAAGATGACAACGTACAAATTTTGGATCAGCAACTACATTGGTTGAAGGGAGTCCAACTCCCAACTCGGATAACTGCTAACACCCCCTTATGACCTGGCACTGCATCATCAGAAGATAGAAGATCACAACTGCAGAACGTTACATCCACCCATAAACAGGACTCTATCCATTTAATCCTTCACAGCCTTTTAGAACAAGAAAGCAAAGAGACCCTACAGTGTTAACTCCTGCCCTACTTCTAAATATTCAGCCTTGATAACCTGAATAGTCCCCTTTCTGCAAAGTCATGATACCACAGATATCTCATTCAATCAGGCAAAGACCAGTAACTCCATAGCTCCAACCACACTACAACAAGCAAGGACTTGGTGATGTACCATGTCAGCAAGAAAACCAGATCAGGACCCGCTTGTAATATTATTTGGAAACCATTAAAGATTATGCACCAAAACAGAATCCAATCAGTTAATTACTGTAGGCCATATAAACAAGGGTCTAACAGAACAAGGCTGCGTTGCTGCAAGGAAATCAACCAGTCCACATAACAAGCATTCAGGCACTAAATGAAGATCTTATGGATATTATCTGACAGATGGTTCATGATAAAACAAAAAACATTTAGGTTATAACAAGTTATGTGGAGATTCCTGGTGCCATTAACAGGTCCATGTTCAAGAAACTAGCAGCTATGCTCTCCACAATACCATCGGAAAACAAAGTATAAAGTCCACGTAAAGATGAAGGATTATTGGGGGTCAATATCCCAAAACTTACATGATTGTTAGATACAGGGAGATGAATGAGAATCTGACAAATCCAGATGCAGTAATTGACAGTACAAGAGCTTGATGTTGTACTGAAAACCACACATCTAGATAACGAAGCAACTGACCTTGTATGTTCCCTTTAAAAAAGTAACCGAGACACTATAGAAAACAAAGTTTACTGTACAGATCAATAGCAGAATCAGCTGCATGTATTATTCAGAGATTGGCAGCAAAAATGCAAGTAGGATGGCCCAGAACTCCTTTAAAGTTTGAATAGCCAAGTACGATCAGCCAGAACATCTTTTTAGTTTTAATAGCAAAGAAGCATCTAATATAGTTTTGCGCTCTTATAAAGTTTGAAACCCGGTTGCTTGTTCTAGCCAATAAGTTACTTGATTTCCCCAAACAGCACCACTATGCAACGCAATGGACAACAAAAAGATCAACATCTTCTCCTCTTCATTTCAACATCATTCAAACAGGTATCACTCCACCTCCGGTCACAATGACCATAATTATCTTCTTGTTCTTCGACACATCTTGTACTAGATACATTACCCACTGTACTTTTTATATGCCTGTCAAATTCCCTTCCCCTTAAGCTTCCCCAAACAGCACCACCATGCAACGCAATGGACAACAAAAAGATCAATATCTTCTCCTCTTCATTTCAACATCATTGAAACAGGTATCACTCCACCTCCGTTTACAATGACCATAATTATCTTCCTGTTCTTCGACACATCTTGTACTAGATACATTACCCACTGTACTTTTTATATGCCTGTCAAATTCCCTTCCCCTTAAGCTTCCTCTTCCATGGAACTCAGACTCTGTTTCTGGACAAAACCTGCAAGGCTGAGGAGCATCTTCCACATTGTAACAGAAATTATCAATATCAGTATCATCATACGAAGTTCGAAAAGAACGAATAGGTCCACGTCTCTCACTACATGTCCTTCTCTCATCCATACCTCCATCACCTCCAATATCATTAAATTTATCCGAATGCATTGGCCCACCAAAGTAATCATCATTCTCAGCCCTTTCCCGGGGCTCAAACATATCAAACCTCCTCATCCCCCGTGGCATTATCCTGCCAGATGGGCTCCTCAGTTTGAATGATCTTGGATGATCATGCTCCTTAGTTGAATCCATTTCTCTAAGGTCATTAGAGATTGGGGGAATGAATGGAGGGGAACAAGGTCTTCTTCCCACCATATCTTCGGGAAAAAAAGGGCGTCGATAAGATCGGACCCGATCAGTTCTGTAAATTGGTGATCTCCGATGAGATAGAGAAGGATGCCCATTAAAACCATCAGATCTTCCTCTAGGAGGTGACCAAAGGTCAGGAGAGCGTGATCTGGATCTTTGTGGAGATTTTGAATGAATTTGAGGTATATGGAGAGGCCCCCTCTGAAGGGGAGAAAACCTCCTCTCTCCATGGACAAAGGAATCTCCTCGTTCATACTGAGATTGGGAACGTGAAAAAATAGGATCCATCACATCACCAGGCAAACCCCTGACGAGTTTTTCTCTGTGCCTCAATCCAACAAATTCAGAACCACTTCCACGGATGCATCTATCAGGGCTAATGTCTCTAGGAGGTCTACGTACCATTTGCAAACCATGGGAAACATGTCCTTCTCTCCCTCTAGGAGTCCGTCTCCTAGAGAGGGGATGCCGAAAGTTTGGCAACTCATTGTTTAAGGATTTTCTCCCTCCTCTACCACCACCTAAGATAGTACCATCTCGTGCAACAATATAACCACTGTTTTCAAGCTTAGCAGCAGCAGTTGTTGCTGCATTTTTTGGCCTAGTGTATCGAAATCCAGATGAACAATTATAGCGTTCAGCAACAAATTCACGACCAGAATCCCAGTCACCACGTAGATTGTCTACCTGGCTATCAACCCTTCCCCTGCCATGCATAAAACCAGATCCAGGATACCTAACAGGTTGATCTTGATTCCTAACTTGTTCAAATTTGCGAGGTCTATCCATGCAGCTTGCATCTCTGAAAAGGATAAGCAATAAGCATCAAATACAAACTGCACTTACATGAAAAATAAAGAAATAGCAGGCAAGAAAAGAAAAAATAATCACCTACAACCCCAGGGATGTAATTTATCACCCAGGAGCACCACATCAGTATGCTGTTCCCTTTCAATTTGCGATGGTGACACTCTGCCAGGAATAGACCTTGTTTTACTGGATGATGAGCCACTTGAACCTCCAACTAAAGTTATAATCCTGCCACGAGTACCTCTATTATCAACATCTTTAACTGCATCATCACCAAGCCCAGAAGATTCCACTTTTGGAAAAATAATATTGCTCATTTCTGCAGTGCCTGTTACTTTGGCATTCTCATGTTGAACATCCATGTCAACCTGAGCAACTCCAGCTGAAGTCTCTTGGCCAGAACTAAGTCCTTGATTAGATGTTATTTTGATCTCTTGGCTCCGTGGACCACCTCCACCTCTTGAGTGGTCTGGTGGTTTCCTACGAACAATCTTGACATGCCTCTTTTTACTCAATTCAGTGGATGGCACTAAAACTGTCAATGGTTTTTGCAACAATGCACTTTGATGAATGTCTTGATCACTCTTTTCATTAACCAGATTATTGTCACATGGTCTGCTACAATGAGCATTCTTTGATTCACTAAGATCTTCCACTTTAACATCTCCCTCTTTGACATTTGAGGAAGTATTTACACCCCGATCATCCAGATATCCAGAAACATTGGCATCCCTATTATCAGATTTCCCATATTCAACATGATCTGCTTCCTTTTCCTCACATGCATTATCTTCAACAGCATTAAGTAGCAATGGTTCTCGGACCTCTCCATCCTCATAATCATCATCCTCACCACTATGTTGTTTATCTTCGTCCATTACACAACCTGCAGCATGATTACCATCTGACTCATAATCAATATCATAAGACTCTTCTTCTTCCATATCAGCAGGTATATTAATCCTTTCCTCATCACTTTCAGCTATCTCGTTATTCCTGTGTGAAACTACACAATGCTCATCCAATGGTTTTAGCGTAGATGACACAGTATCTGCATTATTTAAATCCACTTCTTTATTTGGAGCATCTAACATAACATTGGCAACCTTAGACTCATTACCATCAGGAACCACAGAATTCGGAACTGTATGTGAAGGCATTCTCTTATAATTATCACAAGTTTTTTGGGTTACATCCACATTATAGGGCATCCCTTTGGTGCAAGTGGGAACTTCTGAATTATTTGAAACCTCCCCAGTAATTGGCAACTTTTCTGTACAAGTAGGTGTGACCAATGTACAAGCAGAATTCTCTAAATGGCCACTCATAGGCATTCCAGAAGTATCAGTTGGAATCTCTAACTGGCTAGATGACCCTTCCACTGCATTGAGGTTATCATGATGACCCTCATGAACTGGTTCTGATTTTACAAATCTCTGGCCTATCAATTGCATATTGCTGATACTCAATGATTTAAGAGGCCCCTGGTTGTACCCTTCAACTGGTTCAGGCTTTACAATTCCATAATAAAGTTTTGAAGAACTGCCTTCCACAGCCCTCAATTCCCGTTTATTACTGTCATCAAATGGTTCAGACTTAACGCTCCTGCAACTAATCATGTTTGAACCACTGGCAGGTGAAACTAGAGTTCCAGATGAAATCAGACTAGGTCCTGCTTCTTTAAAGTCAACCTTTGCTGAGGTATATGGGTGTTCTTGACATAAGCTTGACTCTGGACCAGATGTGCTAAGATGCAGACGAAGATTTTGGATTTCATGTTGTTGACGAAAAGAGATAGTCCTGCTGGACAACTTGGATTTGTTCTCATTTACATCAAGGTCATATTTCTGAAAAGTAGGATTGGTGCTCCCTTCACTATTAATCATCTCTTTTAAGACAGTGCTTACATCATGCAAACTGGTTGCATGAGACGCATCAATATCACCAATGACCTCACTGCTTGTAGAAACCTCCCATGTATCCATCATAGTATTCAAATCCCAGTGTGACCTATTTGCAAGTACAGGAGTGCAACCAATCTTTAATTCAGTATCATTGCTTTCACTCTGAAAAGAACTTTTCCCTTTGCTCAAAGCTAAATTCAAAAAACAGGAATCCAACCTCCCCTGCTTCTCACAACTCCCTCGACTGGTTTGGCATGCCAAGGCTGAAACAGAATGTTTCTTTGGCACTAAAGACAACTCTATATTTCCTGGAACTATTAGAAACTTAACTTTATTCTCTACACCATACTCTCCCTTGTCATTTATGTGTTCCCTTATTTGTGGTGCAAAACCTTCATTTTCTACTAACTGTAGTTTTGTCTTCTCCTGGAATAAAGAATTTTCAGCTACCATACTTCCATCATTACTCTCAAACGCAGACCTAGAACCAGAGGATACCAGGAGACCCTGTTCCGGAATACTCGACCCAGGGGTGTAAGCATTGCTTGGGACCAAGCTAACATTTATCTCGGGAGAATTTCCTTCCTTCTTTTGGGGGGACATTGTATTGGTATGAGAAATCCCAGAAACATCTTTCGCATTGAACGTATTTGGAGAAGATTTCTCAGGATTTGAGTTAGAAGAAATTGTAGAAAGCACCGTATCACTGGCATTTGAAGAAGAAAAAACTAGTGTTGAGTCAGATTGTTCCTTCTCTGGTAGATTAGGTTCAACTGACTGTGAGGGCAGTGCCTGAGAAGAAGGTGATGATGGTGGAACCAATAGAAACCTCCTTTTCTTGATAGGCACAACTACAGCAGAATCACTAGAGCTTTGGGCAAGGAGTTTAACCCCACGCTGCCAATAGAAAATTGAATAATTAATATTGAAGAAAACAAATTTATCCAAACTCCCCTAACGCTATTTAGCAGTATTTTAGAAAGGAAATAAACACCTCTTCATGTCCCGAAACTGGCATGTCTTCAAGATGCTCCAGTTCTTAGAGTGATTGTATCCTAATGTAAAAGTTGATATTCAAGTCCCAGATAAGACTCCAGATTAATCTCCACGAAAATATTCACTGTATGAAGTTTCTTCCAGAAGTCAATTCAATTTGATTTATAACAAAAGAAACAGTTGGTTATATGAATCCAAGCAGTTTCTAGCACCCTCAAAGAGATTTCTAATCATCACTGAAGGATAGATACGATAGATTCTGAATGACCTGCAGAACAATGAGAAATTTGATCATTACAGGGCAGCATAATCCATCAGTCCAGTAAGTGTGGTATATCAAAGATGAATAAAATAAAAGATCTATGTTTTATCAGGTCCTCATGCAGCCCAAAAGTAAATAGTCGCTCAAACAAAATCAGTTGAATAACAAAACTTTGCTACGCTGCACAGTAGAGAAAAGGATGGGAAATAACTAGGCACCATAAAAAGCTGAAATTTCCCTTGCAAGAGACAAACTTGTTAAAAGTATATATTTTCTTACATTAAAAGCACGCACTGCAAATCAAGGACAAGGTTCCTCAAAAACATGTGATGTTTGCAATCCCTCGTGCGTGATTGGTAAAATTATATAAAAATAAGGCAAATTTGTATCCATCTTGACAAACATGAGCAAAACAATTCTGCTCGTGTAATAGCTCACAGAGCCCGTATGTTTGGCTCATTTCTCCACCTGTATCAGCCTCCTTGGCTGGGCCATTCTTTTTTTGAGGCTAGTCACGAAGAGGGTTATATCATTCTGGGATCTAAATGAATATTTTATCTTAAAAAAAAAAAAGCTAAAAATCCTTCCCTTCCTCGATCCCTTAACCATCACAAAAGACTAAAAGTAACAAAAGAAATTACCCCAATAAATCTAATCAGCCGAGGAAATAAATCGAAGAGATAGATAAGCAATCAAAATTACGTTTGATTCAATCTATTCGAGCGCCATCCGCTGTGTTAACTACTACAATTCTAAACATTTCTACATAAAAGATCATTTACAAAAAAAAAAAGGTAAATCCTATCAACTAGCCGCTAAATCCTGAAAAAAGAAGAAGGTTTAAAATCGAAAAATGAAAACCCATCTTTTTTTGCAGAAGTACCTATCATCCACTACTCGCTTCAGGAAAAAAAAAGGACTTTTGCAACCTAGATTGGAAGAAGCAGCCTCCGTAACAATCAAAGCTATCTTCAAGCAGAGGATTCCAAGGGATAAGAGATAGAATTGTTCAAAGGAAAAGGAAATGAGTAATTTTACTTGTAGCGGAAGAGAACCGGGAGAGCATGCAGCTTTCTTTGGGGTCTGAACTCTCATGTTCCTGTTGCTTAGGGTTTCCGCGGTTCTAAACGATTTGCTCCACGCGGTTTTTGACTTTTATTCTCCGACGCTATAGTCGTATACCGCCCTTGGCCAAATTCGCCCGTTAACAGACACGTGTTTTGGAGAAATTTTCACTATAATATCCTAATTTTGGGTAGTGTGAAGTTAGTACCCGAACTTTCAAATGAGTCGATGCAGTATTTAAAGCAGTTATATGTTGAAAATGTCAAAACTACCATTCAAAAGAAGACATTGTTTATTGTCTTCCTTGAGACTAAGTTATCTTCAAAGAAAAAGAGAGAAAAACATGAAATATGATAGAGGGAAACAATAACCGAAAGCAATGAAATAACTAGACAATAATGTGTTTCATATCTAAAGGTAGAAGATGATGAGTTCATTAGTCTAAAATCTCAAACACCTCAACCGGTTTAGTCTCAATATAGAAAAGACAATGAACAGTGTTTTCTTTTGAATGGTGGTTTTGACATTTTCAATAGATAACTGACGGTCGATTAACGACAGGGACCAATTTGGTACTTTTTGAAAGTTTAGATACTGCAATGACATGTTTAAAAGTTTGGGTACTAACTTGACACTACCCCTAAAGTTTAAGGTACTAAAGTGGAACTTTCCCTTTTTTCGCTTCAAAAGTGAGAGAATAGCCCCGTATTAAGCACAGGGCAGTTATAATTATTTGTTGGTGATGGTGCACGATCTGGAAGCTCATAGCTAAAGGTTACCTGGGTGTTGGTTGCTTAACGAGCTGATTCGAACAGCAAGAAAGCGGATTAGAGAACCCGGGGTGGCTAACCCGGTGAGGTCGCTCCGATGCTTAAGTTAGTATTGTATTCTGGTAACGAGCTGAAAGATAGAATGCAAGTAAGCTAGTGAGCAAGTAACCACGCATACCTTGTGCTATGGGGGTTAATGCCCTTATATAGTTGAGCTGTTGTGAGCCCCAAGAAACATCTCCGGGATCTTCGGACTGATCGGTAGGAGTCCATTCCGTTTCGGAAGGTGGCCAACGTACTAGTTGATAAGGCTTATTGTGCCCGTCCGATTTGGGCGGGATGGGGATAAGGCTTATGATTATGCAATATGATCCCGAAAGGCTCGGGGACAGCTGGCGAGCTTCTAGAATCCATTACGTGTCACCTCGTCGCACGAGGTCACCGAAGTGCCTTGGCTTTGGTATTATCCGAAGTGACTGAGGCACCCAAGTTGCCCTAGTTTGGCGAGGTGGTGGGAAGTGCTGAGTCATCGTTTAACTGGCAGGTCACGTCCACGTATCCTCTGTTTATCAGGTCGGGCCAAATCACCCCTCATCGGTTGGATTTTGTCTTTTTTGTTATATATTATTTTATATGTGATTCACTACTTATTCGATTTAATTTTATTTTCAATTTAAATAATTAAATCAGGTTTAAGTGTAATTTAAAGTCCTTTACAATGACCTTTTTTAATTATAAAATTGAATTATGAAAATGGGCCAACGTGTGTAATTTAAAGTTAGCACTTTTCTTTTATGTTTCAATTCAATTTTTTAGTGGGCAAATACATGTCTAAATAATGAATTGAGAGTTGATCCTCATAGAGTATTCATCACATCTGTTGTATTTGGAAACGGTGTAAAGGTACATTGATGATGTTTTGCACCAATTCCTGAGGAAGTGACCATTACACTTTGAAAAGTGTGATGAAAAATGTGTAAAGTAAATTTTACATTTGATGATTTACATTGCTTCCAAGTGTGGCATAAATAACAAACATCGACAAAACTAAATTGGTGTAAACTTTTAAATCATTCTTGATTTACATTGCTTCCAAATGCAGCCTAAATAACAAGACATGTAGAGGATATGTTCCTAATGTGCAAGTGAGACATAATATGAAGTGAGTGCGAGGAGCACTTTTTAGGGAGCATATTCAAACACCTTTAGGAATAAAGCTTCTATTTTGAGAATGGAAAATACCCACTTTCTTGTACACTCTTTCATAAAAAAAAATAGAACGTCATGTGTTTAAAATAAATGCCTCTAGCTCGAGAACTTTTAGATTGTTAGTATTGTGTATTAGGACTAGACCCATACACATGACCCACACTTTCAGATCTAAAGGAATGTTTGTTAGTACTGTGTATTAGGATTAAACCCAAACTTGTTTCACCTAAATCACATATTGTCTCTAATTTATTTGGGAAAATTCCCGATAGGTACCCTGTACTTTAGGCCGAGTGCCAATTTAGCACCCGAACTTTAAAACGCAACAATCTAATAACTGAACTTTTGAAATGCAACAATCTAGTACCTATTGTTAATCAGCCGTTAAGTGTCATGGGAAAAGACACATATACCCTTCAAGTGTCATCTAATTTTCTTTACCAACCTTCTATTAATAAGTTCTACAATGCTACGGTGCTTCTTCGTCTGTAAATAACAGTCTGTACGATCCACCAAGTGGCTGGGACGACCTCAATTGCCCTAGCATTCTATTTCCTATTCATGACTGGAAGCAACCATCATAAGCTGTGTATTAGAGGACAATCACCAACGTTGACAATGGCCTGTAGAAGTGCAGAGTACACAACTACAAATCGTCGTTGAGCCATTGGCACTCAAATTCTCATGTCAATACGAGAACCAGATCTTCAGGGTAACAGTGAGAGTCCCAGCAAGTGGAAGTCGAGACCCCACCTGCCCGTCATCGGTAATGAATGGGGTGGTAGGATTTCTAAAAGACCCAGCAGGTGCTAAGCCTGCAACAAAAGTTTTGCTGGCATCATGTCTGGCAGAATGCAACCGCCACGTGGCCGTGGAGGTGGGAGCGTTTGCAGAGGTGGAGCTAGAAGGATCGGCGGCGGAGCGGGCGCTAGCTGCGTTGGAATTTCTATGTACGGTCCTAGGTGGAGCTGTGGAACTAAGGGCCCACACCTTGGCCATTCCAATGCTTGTAGAGATGGACCAGATGGTAATGAAGATGGCGGGAAGAGGGAAAGAGCATGGGATAAGTGTTATGGCAGTGATTTTTGGAGGGGGTGGCTCCGCCGGAGGAGGTTGGTTGAGCAATGGTGCTAGCATTGCAGGGAGAGTGCAAGGTGCTTCAAATACGTGTAATTGAACTCTATGGTTTCAAGTACAACCAGTACTCAGTTCAAGAAATATTTTTGTTTGGAAAAAAAGTCAAATAGGTCTTTTGCGTTCTAAGATGAAGTATTTCTCATTTGTGTTCTTCCCACTTGCTTCTTTCTAAGCTTAAAGCATAGGTAGTTTTCTTTTTCTGATAGATATAGTAGATTCAGACTCTGATAGAAGTTTGGTTTTAAAAACATGGGTTTGTCGCTTCCTTTATTTTGGGCTCTTGGAGGATAGCGAGCGACGAGCCCTTTATTTTGGGTTCTTGGGTTTTCGTCACGAAATGATGATTTGGACTGTTGAGTGTTTGGGCTCTGCTTCATTTTCTTGAGAAAGAAGATTATGAACAATGTGTTTTATTTCCAAAGGTAATTTTGATATTTTCAGAAGTCTTAAATCACACATGAGGTCATGTGATATATATAACTAACAGCCCATTAACAGTAGGTACTAGATTGTCGCATTTCAAAAGTCCGAGTACTAGATTGTCACGTTTTAAAGTTCAGGTACTAAATTGGCACTCGACCTAAAGTACAAGGTGCCTATCGGGATTTTTCCCTATTTATTTATACCATAAATAAAACATATAGTTGCCTTGTGTTGTGTATAGGTCATAAAAATTAAATTAAATCCAATACCATATGTCATATATGATTTATACTTATTTATACAAGTGCATGGCATGTGCTCTTACACTAGTAATATAAACTATAAATAGATACTTGCCTTGGGTTCTGCATAGTTCATAAGATTGTATTTGGTTGTTATGTATTGATGCAAAATCATGGTACTGCAAATGATTTTAGTGCAATTTTTTTTTGTGTGTGTGTTTTAAATTTTAAGTATAAGGTAAAAATAAGACAACAAAATAATGTAAAACCCAAAACAAATTTAAACCAGAATTTGCATTCTTTTCATTTGCACTCCCATGCAATTATACTAGTGCAAATAAAATTGCAAATTTTTCTATCAAAAACAGAATTGTAATGCAATCAAATGCAGCTTAAAAGTTGAATCCATATACTATGTATTATGTATGGTTAATTCTTATTTGTTCACATGTTCTTACACTAGTATTCTAAAATGTAGTTGACTAGACCACATTACTCTCCCTTGCTTCCTTACTCCCTTTAAAATTGTGGAATTTCAAATGCCCCCACCTCACAAATTTTTATTTTACTTTTACAATTGGGAATAGTGATACACAATACAAAGAGGGATGTATTGTATCATAGGTGTAGAGGTTTTTGGAAAACAAAATTAGTAAATTAATAAAAAATTGTGAGGTGGGGTAATATGAATATTTCTCTTTAGAATTTTGTAATTTTCTGTTAAAAAGCATGAACCGATCATAACTGTTTCAATTTCATTTATATTAAAAATTGTAATCACTCCCTAAGAAAACAATGTCATCTTTTAACAATAGTCCATGCATCATATAGGCCTTTATTGTAAGGGCCTATTCATTTGCTTTGAAGTCTGACTAGGGGTGGCAACGAGCCGAGCTTTTCACGAACTGCTCGAGCTCGACTCATGAAAAGTTCGGCTTGGCTCGGTTTCAACCAAGCTTCGAGCTGAGCTCGAGCCCAATTTATTGGCTCGATTATGAAATGAGCCAAGCTCGAGCCTACTAGAGCTCGGCTCATGAGGCTCGCAAGCTGGCTCAAATATATATATATATATATATATAATAAAAGTATTATAATTATTAATTATTATAAATCTTAATTTTTTAAATATCAAATAAAAATATTTTTATATATAATTTTTTATTTTTAAAAAACATTTTTCTCAAAATCGAGCTCGAGCCTAGCCGAGCTTGAGCTTATGAATTTTTTACTCGAGTCGAGCTCGAGCTCAAGGTTCTGGCTCAAGCTCAAGGTTATGAATTATTATTATTA